TCATTTCTGAGGTATGATATCTTTTTACAGAGGTTGTATTGACAGTTTTTACGTACTACTTTGTCTGCCCACTGATTCTGTTCTTAAGAATAGTTTATACTAATTTGCTCAATTCAGATGCAGAGATTATTGGTTTGCAGTTTTTCTGAAACTGTTTTGGAACTCAAATTAGAATTTCTTTAAGATATATTATAATTGGAAAAGTGCAGAGGAAATCAGAATTGCTGAGGCAAATCTGCCTAGGTAGCACATATGGAATTATCAACACCTGTAAACTAATGCAGAGGCAGACCATCCTTTCACAAAGTCCAAAGGTTAGAGATGATGGTATTTGCTTTGAAGGAGAGCTGTTACCTTTTACGCTGCTTAACTCTTTCATCTTTAGTAGGAAGAGACTTGATAAAGCACTGGATCTGATTTCCTGTGTTAACACATGAACCTAAAGAAGTTTGTAGCCATGCTTTTCCGGCACAGCCACTTGGGTGAAAATCCTCAAAAATGTCATCAAACTTGTAAATCTATAGTAATTATTTTTTTTTTTTTTTTTAAAGTCAGAGTTGTCTGAGGAGGCAACAGTGAGTGTACACATGGGCCACTGTAAAAAGGTCTGAAGTTATCAGAAAGGAGTAGTGATAACCAGTTGCAAACAGTTATGGAATTTGCTTGTTGAGATATGTAAGATGTTCTCACCTGACCTCAAAACCTTGCAAAGGTCCAGGATGCTGAAACACATCCTTGGAAAATCTTTTTTTCTTGGCACATTCTCTACATTTTTTTTTTTTTCCCCTTCTCATATCCAAAGTTTTAGCAAAAGGTAGGGAATGTGATTCAGTTGTGAACCACAGATCTGAGGGAATCATTGTGTCTCATACATAAGGCATACATTGTGTCACAGATATTCTCTTTCTTTGCAGTCTTTTTTAAAGATTCATGAAGTGGACTTCTTCACATTGGAAGAAAGTGTATCACATTGGCTTTTAATGTTCCAGAAATTTTTTCTGCTAAGTGGCTTTGAGTTTGTTGAAGAAGTTTGAGGGGTTGTTTTAGAGGTATTTCTTAAAATTGTTGAGAGTACAGTAGCTCTGCACTTACATGAAGTGAGTAAAGGGAGATTGAAATCTAAGTACATGGCTTGTAATAAAATTACAGGATGATACAGATTGGAGAACTGAGGAAGGAGAAAGGAGTTTGAGGAAATACATTTTGTTTCTTAGTTCCTAAAAGAGCGAGTCCAGATGAAGTTGCCTACATAATATGGCTTGCTTGCACGATTTATATTCCACATAGCAAACTGCTATGCTCAATATATAAACATTTATCACAATAGGTATCCCAAAATATGTAAAAATCTGTGTGTGTGTGGTTATGTTTGGTTGGTTTTTTTTGTGTGGGTTTTTTTTTTTGGTGTTTTTTTTTATTTTGTTTTGTTCTGTTTTTTCTTTATTAAGTAAATCTTACTGTAACTGTGAGACTTTATCAAACCCTCTTGGCCTCTCTGTATTTCAGGTATCAGCTGATATTTTTCTCGTCAGCATCCTTTGAAATTTTTGTGTTCGAACTGCTGCTGCATAGTGCTGAGCACAGTAATTTTGTCTGTTATCTTATGGTGGAGGATGTGGCCATGTATTTAGTGTTGTAAATGATGTCAACATGTAACATTTTTTCTTCTGAGACCACTATGGTGCTGCAGGGATATTGGGAGACAAGACAAAGGAAGGAAATGAAAACGAGCAGTTAATTTTGTCATAATATTCTTCTTACTAGGTTTCATGTAATATATTGCCAGTCAGCAATCAAGTGTCTGTTAAGATAAATTAGTAGTGCAGTCCTGGTCTAACACAGAGGCTGCAAAACTGAGAGTCCACTTCTTTGAAAATCATGGGGAATTCAGCCTAAGACAAGAGCAGTGGGGGACTGAAGTGATTACCTCAGACTATGGAGGAAGCTTGAATTTTGCCTTCTGGGAGTTTGTCTTTCAGTACCATCAGCCAATGATTTATCAGTCGACTGTGAGCCTGGAGGTGCGTGTCAGATACGTGCCTTTCAGCAGTACTGAAAGCATGGCTGAAGACTTTGAATACTTAGGTTACAGACTGGTGAAGGGTTTATTGATTTTATTTCTTTTTTCATTAGCTTATTCCCACTCTTTACAAGGTTGTGAAGTTCATCAAATAAAGGGTTATTTTCCCATGGTCACACAGGGCCTTCTTGATCACTTTGGAAGGTCATAAGACTTTGGGGTAGAAAATGCCTTAGTTTTACGTAATGGAAATTTGATGTTTTGGCCCTAAGCCACTGTTGACGTTAATGATGATGCAATTTCAGTTGCTGTTCTGTGAGATCTGAGGTTTCTTGTACACTGCTGACTTAAGAAGCATTTTGCTCAGGAATTCATTAGGAGAGAGAAGGAATTCTACAAGACGTCAACAACCAGTGGACATGGAAGAGTGAACAGAAGCTGGAGGTGTGTCTTATCTCCATCTTATCTGAAGCCGGGAGGGTTCAGAGAGGAGCTTACTGATGCAAGATGTACATACCATGTTTTGTAGACATCTGTGGCAGAAGTACTGGTGGTTTGACTTAAAAGTTGGGAGGAAGATTTGTGAATATTTTCAGGAAGTTTTGTGTAAGTTCTGTGAAGGGATGTGTCTGTGAAATGCTCTTTCTGGCCGGGAATTAGGGTGAACAATTTAAGAAATGAGGAAAATTAAGGTATTATAATGAAGATGGTGGATTGAAACCCCCCCACAAGATATGCTTTATTAAATTATTTCCTTAAAAAAATACAGCTCTATAACTTAGTTCTTATTTCAGTGTTTTTAATGCAGATTTAAATATGCATCTATGTATTTATAAATATCACACAGAATTTTGTTTTATCAGTTACATAACTGTTACTCCAAAGCTGTTCTCCCTCTTGCTCACAGTACCATTCAGAATGAATGAATTACTGTAGGTAAAATAAAGTAAAAAAGCAACCTCCTCCTCAAGATCATATGCCAGAAATATATCACTGAAAGTTCTTTTCTTCATGTAGCTGCGCAAGGAATAGTTTGCAAGTTCAAAAACAGCCTTTCCTAGTGGGAGATTTAGCCGTGGTTTCAGCAGAGCTGTTCTCTTAGCTCTCTCTTTAGTTTGTGGTTTTATCTGACAGGTCAATGACCAACTTTGGGGTTTTTCATTAATATTTGAACTTTAATGTCTAATATTGAAATGCCTTCTAAAAATCAATAGTTACACTACAGTTTTTCTTCATCCCATTTCTTGGAATTCTGTATGGTAAATATGGGTGAAGCGGGTTCTCACTAAGCCTTCATGAAAAGAGTAGAGTAGTATTACATGCAAAATCTAGTTGTCTTCAGTCTTCATCCTGGAAAGCAAGGTATCCTTTCCTTTTGGGATTGAAGATGCTCACGTGTAAGAATTCAGTGTTTAAACTGAAGTTTCCCATGAAAAGAACTGAATCTTAAATTGCCAGTTACAATGGAAAGGTGGTAAAACCAGGAATTTAAATAGTATGATTTATTAGATTAGAAAATAGTCTCAGCTCGTAGCTTTAGCTAAATATTTAGAAAAGAGTTGGCATGCATTGTAGAGCTCATAAAACAAAGTAGGATTTCACAGTTTATGTAAAAAGCAATAGTAAGAAAGAAAATAAGTTAACATTTTGTGTAGCTGGCAGATAGCTACATCCCTGCCTCCAAAAGTAGAAATTATGTGAAAGAATAGAAAGGAAGTTGCTGTTACCTCATAACTACTGATAGCAATGGATTATGTATCCATTGCCATCTTATGAGATCTTTTCCAAGTGTCAAAAAAGAGAATTTCCAGGTGTGTATAAGAAATCTTGGCAAACTGCATTTTTTGAGTGCTTTTTGACCTGCTGCACTTTTTCTCATGATTTGCAACAATAAAAGAAAAAGAATAGGTAAAGGATATAGGGCTTCTTTGAATGGGAGTCAAATAGTATAGAGCCAGTACACCAGACATGGAGACCATATTCCAAACTGGACATATTCTGTATTTCACTATTAATTTTTGGTAATCCTGTTGATTGGATTTTAGATATGTATGTTTATTTGATTGATTTTTGAAGTGCAAGTAGTTTTTATCCCTACCTGTCCACTAGGAGGTTGAACTTAAGTGGTGATGTGGGGAATGAAGTAAGACTTGGAAACAAACAGAAACGAAACGTGAAGAATATATTTCTTTCTGCTTTAAATAAAATGCAATGACAATTGGACATGAAACGCTTTTTGCCCAGCATGACACTTAAAAGGAAAGGGCTGTGTTGTTGGCTATGTTTCTCAGTCTCTTAAGCTCACAAAAGTAGCCCAGACAGTTTGCTGACCTGTGATAGACCTTTAAGTCTCTGACTTGTCAGACAAGAGGGGCAGCACTCTTCATTGGCATTCAGATCACAGGCAGCCACTGGGCTCAGCGCATAGCCAAGGACTGCTTTAGGATTTAGACAAAGCCGCTCTGGCAAAACATCCCAGTTGTCAGGGTAGCTGGCGGTTTCCTAAAGAACTGTTACATAATGGACAGGCTGAGAAAAGCTTTAGGATGCAAATTTTTTTAAAGTAAAAATTAAAAAAGAGAAAAAGAAAGTGGTGGTAATTTGTGAAAAGAAACATCCCCCCCCTCCCCGGATGATCTCATTCATTGTTTCCTCCTTCTGTTTAACTTCTCAGGGTCATAAATGTAGTTTGCTGTTTAAAACTGTAGTGATGTCACTCCAGAGGTATTTTATGGAAGAGGAGAAGAGAATTATCTGCAAGTATTTGGGAATCAACACTTAGAGATTTATTACCTTTGCTAGAGGTCAGCTATTTGCATTTCTTCTTCTTTGTGCTTAGTGTAATGTAAACTGGGAATTCAGCTATAGAGTGAATGTTTACATTTGAAGCATCCCTTGGAACAGAAGCGAATGTTGTGTTTATTGCTACAGCTGCCTCCTCGAGTGAAATCTTGATCTAGTCTTGCTGGTCTACGGCCAGATGTACAACCTGCCCCCATGTGCTGATCCCCCTGCACAGTGCGAGGGTTTGACGCTTCCTGGTACTGTTCCTCCCCTGCAGAACCAGAGTGACATCATCCCGGGCACTGGTCCGAAAGAAAGCTGCTTACAGCTCCTGCCCACTCTGGGAACAGGATGTAAGAGGAGCAACTGCTTTGCGCTGCACTGGGGTTGTGAAAGTGAGCACCACAAAGGCTACTTAGAAAGAGTAGTTGTACTGCGGTTAGAGTGGTGTGTGTGTGGCTCTAATCTCCATCACAATGTGCTGGCTGTGCCATGGATGGTGTGGTGTAAGCAAATTTCATTTAGTCATCCTTTGTTGTGAGTGCATTATAGTGTTTTAGTTATAATAAATGGCCCTGCTTTTGAAAGTATACTTATTTTAAATATTTGTAGAAGTACTGCTGTCTCACCCCTTCTAAATACTGTTCCAACCACTAGGCATTGCTTATTTGTTAAACAACAAACCAGAAGAGTACTTACACCCAAGCTGCTGAAGGATTTCAGACTATGTATGTTTGCTGTAAGGATATGATCTTGTTTGGTTTGGGTTTTTTTCTTTGCAGGAAATTAGGAGGAATGGAGTATGGAGGCAGCCAGAGAGCACAGCTTACAGCATACGTTCTTGTGGGGAGAGTGTTGTCTTTCCAGAAGTTTGGTCTGTGAGGAAGAACGCTGTTCTGCCAAAACCCTGTTGTTAGGTGTCTTAGGGGTCTTTACAGCAACATTTAAACTTCTACAATTTTGTTTCTTACTTAGAAAACCAAGACACTAAATTACACTTTCCAGCTGGTTTGTAAGCTGTATTTTCCCCATTGAAGCATATCATTAAAAGTAATGAAAGACAATGAAAGATCAGTTTGGGAAGTCTGAACCATTGATAATATCGTAACAATATCAGTAATCATGCCCCAAACATGTTGACTATAGTCCAAATCTTCTACAGGTATGATGTCTTGCCAAAGTAGCCTGCCACTAATCCCATTCCTTGAAGTTGTATTTCATTTGGTTTGTTGGTGGAGCAGTCCTGCCTTGTAGGCAGAGTAGTTCATTGGTCCCAGTTGCCAGGGCTGTATGAACAGTTCCAGCTTTAGGTGGTCACTCTTGTATAGGCATTAGTGCTCCAGAGTGTTTGATTTGAAGACTGCATTATCCATGCCAAGTTGTTTCTGACAGCCTTCTTAATTGCTCCTTCTATCTTTGTTCACGACTGGTTGTTTCAGAAACTGGGGTGCTGTCTAACTGCTCCCGTTAGCTATGCTTCTGTCACCCAGTCTGTTAGCTGCAGCTCCTCTATTGCTTTGGATTTCCTCTCATAGCCACCATAAGTGTTTCATTTTTGCAGTAGATAGTCATGTACACAACCTCTACGGATGCCTTGTTGTAAAAGGAGGACTTCCTGAAAAAACATTCTCCTTTTCTTACCAACAATTCAACAAACTTTCACCTCATTAAAACCTTTGGCTGAAGTTTAGTCACCAAAGCTTACAGGCTATAACTGTGAGCTACATTACTTCATTTGGAGAATATTGAATACAGTTAGATTGTTTGTGCTTTCTTCAGCATACTAATAAATTCCATAATTTCTCTGACACTGAAAGTTAGTTCTTCTTAACAGGAAGACTTCCAAAATAATGCAAGACACATATTAAAGGTCTGCGTAGGTCTGATGCTTTGACTCATCTAGTCACCGTTTCATTCCTGATAGATGCTAGCTAACAAATTACTTTTTGGATCCCTGAAAGAAGGGCTGCTTGTCCCTTTCAGGCTAAACCCTGCTTGCTTACCTGAGCTGTTGGAAGGAGCAGCTGGTCCATCCTAAAGATCTTCATTCTTCTTGAGGAAATCCAGCAGTCAGATCTGACCACCTCGGATGTAATGCACGTGTAATCACTATATAGCGTTTTGCAGGAAGAATACAGGCTTAAAACAATAGTCTGGTATGAGACTTGCTGGGAACATTAGCTAAGAGCATAAGCTTGTTGCAAAAATATCTGTCCCTTTCATCTGCCCAACTCTGTTTTAGAAAAATCTCACCTTTCATCAGAACACATGCAAAAAATGAAAAATCCGGATGCAGCATACATGGAAAAGGGTTTTTTAAGAGAAAAGTATAATGAAATGCATTAAATCAGAGGTAACTGTAATGCTGTAAAGCTCAGAATGGTCTCATGTTAAAATTATGTTTCTTTTCTGGAACCTGTGGCTGATTAGTATTTTTTTTTCTTTGACTGATGCTCTTAAGACTTGCAATGTCAAAGCATTTCTTTAGATCAATCTCTTATGCATGCTTAAATATATGCCTGTAATGAAGTGAATGTAAACATATGCATGTATTTTCCAGGATGCTATGAGTTTATAAAACTTTAATACTTTTATCAAATAATGTGCATTTTTTTGCAAGTGCTTATAATGACCTTGTTATGTACTCTTTTACTCTGTCTCATAGCTTTTACTTGAAACACAGCAACAGTACATGGTTGTGTGTGTAAATGGAATACCAGGCTCTAAACTTCTCCTTATGTTGGAATTCAATACAGTATTTCTCCTAATTAGTTGCCTTTGAGTCTCACAAAGAGTCTTAAATAAACAAACAGAAAGCGGATGTGTCTGCATGTAAGTTTATGTGTGGTAATGAGGTGGATGTGTAGTAAATACCCTTATAGTCCTATTTTGTGTTTAGCATATAGCTGACTTATTTAACAATAACTAAACCAATCTGTGTATCTACTTGGAGTTGTTAAAGCATTTCACAGCTGTTTGTTCCCCTCTTCTAACCCCTTCATGTGGTGACAACAGAAGTAACCATTCCCATCAGAAATTCTGTTACAAATTATTAACTCTTCTTCTATTTTACTACCAAATCAGAAAGGCTAGTTTAAGCCATTAAATACGTGTTCATGTGCCAAGACACAGAGATTATGATATACTTAGATTAGCTGAACTAATGCCTGTGTTTCTCTAGTAGGGGGAAAAAGGGGCTGCTAACTGCAACCTTTGCATATGCTGCATGTTTTGGTGTAGCAGCAATGTTCATCTTAGTGAACAGTGTCGGCTCAGGGAATTAAACTGACATAAAAAAAACCCCTATACCCAAATGAAGAGTTTAGGTCCTTGAATTGCCTTACTGCAGGTCAAATGAATGGTAGCGTTGATGCTACGCAGAGTTTGCATTTTTACAGTGGCTGGGTGCTAGTGTATTGTGAAATTTGATTTGGGATTACAGTGTGAGAGCTAGGAATGCAAATCAAAGATGACTCTAATACAAGACATTCTCTAACTTACAGCTGTTAGCATGCATTGAAAGCTTAAGTGCTTAAGGTAACTCTGAATCTGGCGTTTCTTCATATTTGAATATACAAGCTTGTAGATACAGTCTTTTTTCTTTTTTCTTTTTTTTTTAACTTGCCAGATTTTTCTGTTTGTCAAGAAAAAAAAAGGCAGAGAAAAAGAAATGTCCATGTCATTGCGGGGATTGCTTGTACAATTGAAACTGCTGGGTTCACTACATTTTACATGCTTTGCTGCAAGAGCTAACAGAGAAAATGAGAGTAACTATTGGTTTGTCATCTTCTGTTTGGGCTTCTCAAAGGATGGTGTCTTCCTGGAAGAAGCCCAAAAGTTAGCTTTGCCTGGAATTTTCTAGACATATGACGCTCCCTGCATTTTTGTGGGAGGTTATGTAGTATTACAACTTTTTATTAAATTTTTTGGTCATTCTTTTGGTCTCTTGGGGATTAACTGCTATGAATACAGTGTGTATTGCTTGGCTGGTCCAACAGAACTGAAGCTTTCATGTAATTTCCAGTTGAGCAGAAGTTACGTGGAAGAAAGTAGTGGCTGTTGTTAAAAATATACAGAGCTTTTTAAATCACCCAGAGTGGATGTCCACCAAAGTAGAACTCTTCTGTTACAGATGGGAAAAGCATTAGAGGGACTTCAGGTACATTTTGATATTGGTGGAGGATGTCAAATTATCCTGCCAACAGTAGGATGTCTCCTAGTCTCAGAAAGGTACTGTATCATAGATTTTCCTGTGCTGATCATAGATTTCCCTGCCTGTTTTGCCCGAGGTAGAAGAGCTTCTTTCTTTTGTCATCTGTAGCCTGTCTTTCTAGTGCTGTGTATTTATTATCTTTAGCCCTTCCTCCCAGCTGTCTTGCTCCCTGGGCAGCGCCAGTCTTTGCTTATTAAGCTTTTCATTTGTGGGGAAAAAAAAAAAAAGAAAACCCAAACAAACTTCTCTCAGCAGGTGCTGAATATGGAATTATTCAGTTCAGTGGTTAAAATCTGGCAAATCATAAGAGAATTGGATTTTAGCTATCTGTAGGTGGCATTGCCAGGCGTATGAAATTAGCACATGTAAGATTTGACTTTAGAGAAAAGGCCACTAGACTTGTTCATTGTTCTTGTTGAACTCACCTATAGAAACACATCACTGGTGGATCATTTGGAACTGCTGAAAACCAAGTGCTGTGTGGATGCCACGAAGGGCTGAGTGAGAACAGGAAGACAATTGAATACGTAATTTTAATAAGAATAAAAAATAATGTAGAGGTGGTTCATATGTATTTTGTGTTTATTAAATGGAAGGAAGCATGTGCATTCTTATCAAATAATTTTAAAAACATTTACTTGAAGCATATTAGAATGAGTAGCTGTCTATAAGCAAGACTTTTCACCACCCATTGTCTGGTAAAACTAGAAGTAAAGTTCTTGTTATTAAAAATAAATCTTGTTAGTTCCTGGGAACATGTCTGTAAAAAAGGTAAATCCTGAACATTGAAGGCTTACTATTTTTATGGTGCTATTTTGGCAATTGTGCTTGTTTTCCTTTTCATGATGAGTGTTAGATGAGTGACCTGATATTTGTAGGGCTGTTATTTAGTGCAAACATAATCTTATAACTGGTGGTGCTTTAATGATAAAATATGAATTTACGATAGTGCATGCTGAACTGAGAGGATGGTAAGCTTTAAATAGGAGGCTAGAACCTTAGCATCACTTGAGTTTGCAGATTGCAACTAGCACAATACTGAACAGGTAAAGGGGGAAAAAAAACCCACCAAAGTGTAGGAAAAGCAGCTAATTATAGTAATTGCAGCTGGTTTCAAAGTACTTCTAACAGTTTGTGCATAATGCTTACTTGAAAGCATCAAATGGGCGCTAGTTGTGAAAT